TTTATGGATCCTCATGATTATTATCTCTATGAGTTTGTGCAAGAACGCTTTCCCAATTAGTAAAGTTGGATTTGTATAGATTTCTTCCCATCATTATTTCAGAGCTCATGCCAGAATTTCAGATGGACCATAAGGTTATTTTGCATTAAGATCTGGCAGTTTTTTCGTGCACTTAACGACGGAATACCTGAATGGAAATTTTCTTTTGTTTCTAATGATTTTTTATTCCATTTGGAGCATTGGAGAATAAAACAACCTAGTATAAAACTTAGTTATTTAAAATCTAATTATGCTTAGGAAAACTTCAAAGGAAGTTTTTCTTTCGGCCATTAAAATGGTGAGGAATTTTGTATTCGGGTCCATTTTGATTTTTTTAACGTGAGTAATAAGGCGATTGAGTACTGATGTTTGTTATATGATAATTCAACTTTGTTTCAGGCTAAGAAAACTTCATTTTACTTAGCGATAACTAGTTTTGGATGTTTTATGTAGTTATTCCTTGACAGTAAAGGCTTTCTACAAAATATTTATTGTGCAAGAACACAAGTTTTGTGTCGTTCCTTTTTTTTAGAAACAAATGACGTCGATTAATCCTACTTTACTATTCTTTTACTCGTTTTCCTATTTCTCTAGTCACTCTTTGTTTTGTAGTTTTTATTTGAAGAAATGTTGGTAGTTTTTTTATGAAATGTTACCTAAAGTTTTTTTATGAAATGTTGGTAGTTCGGAACATTCTGCGATACTTGCACAGCAACAGGCTATCCTTGTTAAAACTTAGAGTAGATTCATCAGTTTGAAATTAGATTAGTTTCATCAGTTTTAAATTTAGAATAGTTTCATCAGTTTTAAATTTAGATTAGTTTCATCAGTTTTGAATTTAGAATGGTTTCATCACGTTTAAATATAGAAGAGTTTCATTAGTTTTGAATATTTTCATCAGTTAAAACTATTAAAACTATATGTGTTTTGTTTTATCTGTCCTATCAATATTAGCAAGGAAATTAAATTAATTGAAATATCTTGTACCGTATGTTTCGGTACGAAGTTTAGCTCTTCCTTCACCCGATTACCCACAATAAAGTTCTGACTGACTCGTCGCCCAAATTTATCAATGGTCTATCCCTTGTGCCGTCCTTTAATCGGCTTTTGCCCGGCTCAGCTCAGATCTCAAGAGCGTGCACCGCTTGATCCATAAAAAACACCGTTATCCGGCGCGCGAAATTCTATTTTCAGGAAATAACTATTTTCGATCCAAATGGATTTTTTAAATTTATTACCTGATTTTCAAAGACTAAAAATTTTCAGGACAAGCAGTGGCAGTCTCAGCCATGCTTATGTTTGTTCTGAAAATCAAACGACGAAGTACCTGCCGTGTTTCTCGAATAATTTAAATGAATTTTGTTATCAAGGTAGTCTAAACTGGTCCCCTCAGTGTGGTCTAAACGGCTGTCGTCCTAATTACGCGCCAACTTTACCTGATCAGTGAACATTTCAGTTCCTACATCAGTGCACTTTATTGTATATAACTCAAGTCTTGCAAGCGATCGATCGATACCTAGCGTCTAAATTGATTAAAAGCTTCAGTTGTTTGTTTTTTTTTTTCTTTTGTCGTTATTGGTACATTTGACGCTGCTGCAAATATCTTTCTGTGGCACTGCTAATTTTTTAATCGAACGGTCTAATTTTCTGTGGCTGCTTTGATTGAGTGTTTACCTTTTGAATATTTGTTTGCTTGCTCAAACGGCATCAAGTTGAATTGGTTGTTCCGTCCATTCGAAAAATGGGGAGGAATTTTTATTCGGGTGTGCTTTATTTCAACGCAAAATCAGGTACCACAAATAATCATCGAAATGGGTCGAATGATATACAATATTAAAGCCCTTTCAGTCGTGATTTGAACGAAATTTGAAAATTTTTCAAAAACTTGTCTCAGTATCGAGAAAAACTTATTTGTTTTAGGTGTAAATTTTTTGACTTTTTAGAGAGTCAGTTAGGTTTAAAATTTTTTGGTTTTTAATGTAAATTCGAGCGAATAAAGCGAGCGAGCAGGCTTACATTAGTTCATTTAGTAGCTTACAATAGCCTTATTTAAGCCGTGAAGACTTAGTTATTCCTATCAGGGGCGGATTTAGGGGGGGGGGGCGGACGCCCCCCTCAGGGATTCAACCCCCTGCCGACCCAAAGGGTCCCCCTTTGATACTTTTTCAGAAATCCATTTTTGGCCGACCGACCCTTAAATTTTTCTAAAGGCGCCTTCGGCGCCAATATATACTAACTTTGAGGGGGACCGCGCGCCAAAAAAACGCAATTTTTTTGTCAAAATTTTTCAAAAAGTGCCCAAAAACGGCTTTTTTGACTGTTTTTTCAAAAATTTGCCTGCGGCGCAGAAAATTTAGCCAAAATAGTAGAGCTCGAAAAATCAATTTGGTCGACCTAAAGAAAAAAAGGTCGACAAAATTTTCGAAATTCTTTTGAAAATCCGCCCCCCCCCCCCTCGAGAAAATCCTAGATCCGCCCCTGATTCCTATTAAAAAGTTGGTTTTTTTTGAGTTTTTCAACGCCTTTTTGAAATTCAAAAAGTTGCAAAAGTTGATTTTTTTTGATTTTTTGAAGTTTTTTTTAGTCATTTTTCCACAAAAATTATTGACCAAATTGAATTTGTTACTATAAATGTCAAATATGCCTAAGCTCTAGTTTTTCGTTTAGATCCTTAAATCACGCCACGCAAAAAAACGACACTAAATTGAAAAAAAACTTTTGTGGTATTTTTTAAGAATACGGTCGGAACATTCTGTGCTACTTGCACAGTAACTGGCTATCTTTGTGAATTTTCGTATTTACTGAATTAGATGAGACGTGCTCGACGTAGTCCATTGCGAGAGGTTCATTCTCTTGATATAAGTATACTTTATCTTGTTTCAATGACTGGATTTTGGCGTGCCACGGAGCGGTGCTTCCTGATAGCCGAAAACAATTTATTCCAGAGGAGTGGTTTTGCAAGCTGAATGATCAGATTGACATTTTCTTTTGATGAGTAGGTTTCTTATATGATTAGAGTTGACTCGAAAGCTCATAATAAACAAAATTGGTGATATCAATTACCTTCGACTACAAATCAACTGAAAATATCATATCTTATCGCCCTTGAAGCCTAAGACATGAAATAAATACTGAATATGGTCTGCTAGATTTAATTTGCTACCAATATAAAAAAAATCGAGATTACATAATTGATTTGATTAAAGGAATGAATCAAAAGGTCGAATAACTTGTCTTATATGTCAAACTTTCTACAACGGTAGCTGTCGGCTGAATTTTAATGGGCCAGCGTTCTACATCAAAAAATAACGTGCATCATTAAAAGACCAAGGTAATGTCAAAAATACTGTATCCAAATAGTGTTTTTTTTTCAGTTTTTTGGATTTGTAATTTATATAGCGGGTAAAACATTGAAAAAAGAGTAGTCGGTCTCTATGAGTAGGGGTACCTGGATCGTGTGAATAATTCATTTGCCAACTGGCTTTAGTTTTTGGTGGACTTGTTAATCTGCAGGAGCACAGTACATGCCAGGTGTACATGTCGAGAGGAAGTAGAAGAAACGTTCTGACAATTGTTTCTTTGACGGGTTGTCGCGAAAATGTTTGTAACTTAGATTTAATAGTCTTGCTCTCGTCCAAAAGTTTGTGTGTGCTGTTTGAAGTCGAGTATTTAGTGAGCTCGAATACACTGCTCTGATTTTTAAACTGATCCTAAAGGAAAGCACAACACGAGATTCTAATTTCAGTGATAGAGGTAAGATTTTCAGAGCGCGTAGTCTCAGAGCATGTAACCTGTAGCCAATACACTGCTCTATTATCAACAATGTTAGTTTTCGTTGTCTTTTTTTGATTTCAAATTTTAATGCATACCAGACCTGAGACGCATATGAGATAACTGGGACAACAACAAATGTATTCGTTCAATTAAGTTTTATAATTTGCATGCGAGAAAATCTTCTACTTGAGGTGGGATCGGTTTAGGGGCGTTGTCGGGTACGGCAGGTGTTAGCTAAGTTTCAATTAAGTAGATCACTTGGTAGTCGTGCATTAGGACTGCGTTTGCAAATGACATCTGTCTGCCTATGTCAAGTAGGCTGCTAGCATTGAAACTTATGAAATTTGTAGGGAGATTTTCTTTCGAGACCTTGTTTTGGTTATCCCGGGACGTTTTTCCATCCCATTTGTCTTGTTTTTTGTTGTCGCTTTATTTAGAGTTAACTGCTGAAGTTTCGGGTTTCGTATGATTAGATGTTTTTTGTCGCATCCGTTTTTGATTTTTTTTTGTATCAGGACCTCTTTCCAGATCTTTCGTTTGTCTGGAGATAGTTATATGCTCATAAGCACTTGATTTTGGTAGTGTTTGATTTTGTGCAGAGGTAGCAAAATAAGTTGTTGGTGGTGTTCGCTAGTCGTTTTAAGTTCAAGTGTTCGATCTTTTTTTTGTTTTCGTAGTTCCATAGGCGCTTCTTCTTCGATCGTGCCTCTCGTCTAATTTATTCGTAAAAGTCGAATATAAATGTGTCTAGTGATTGTACTGGTTATGGATACTGATGCAAGGTACACCAATTAAGCCTCATCTGTGGTCGAGTAAAACATATTTCCAAAACATTTGCTGTCGAGCATTTGCGAGTAAGACTTTTTTTATAAAGTTGATATGGCTGCATGGCTAGTATTACGTTTTGAATAAAGGTTTTTCGATTAATGAAATGTCAAATTTTAAGGATCCGTTTTTTCGTTCTTTTTTTGGAACAATTTCCGCCCGACATTTTTTGTTCTTGAGCGTATTAAATTTCTTCGAAGTATCTGTGTGTTAGGTTTTGTCAATTCATCTCAACTTGCTTGAACTGGAGACAAAACTAAAGAATTCATTAACACTCGAACTATCTGTTGGCTATGTTTTGTCAATTCATTTTAACTTGGATGAGTTGGGGGAAAAGAATAAGTTTTATTTCAGTTACCGAAATGGCCGATATTGATCATGATTTTGAGGGAGGCAGCGCAGGAGCATCGGAAACCTATCCCATGCAATGCAGTGCTCTGCGAAAGAACGGATTTGTCATGATCAAAGATCGTCCATGTAAAATTGTGGAAATGAGTACTTCCAAAACTGGAAAGCATGGCCATGCCAAGGTGCACATGGTTGCGATTGATATTTTCACCGGTCAGTGATTTTTTTTTATTTTTAAAGTAAAAAAAACAAAAATGTCAAATGTGCAGGAAGCATCAGGATTGTTTTAACCCTTCCGCAAAATTTAAGTTGAACGTAAAAAATATGGATAAAATTAAATTGATTTTGATTTTTTGCAAGCCCGCTATTTAGCAGATAATCAAGCGGCAGCTCGAAAAAATGTAAATTTGACTTGTTTTTTTTTGTATACGATTTGATAGACGTTAAAAAGATCGTCAACGTTTTTTGAGCTGGGTTATTAACAAGCCAGCACTTATAAATGATTTGATGTCTGAATGAAGAATTCGTTCTAGGGAAGAAGTTAGAGGATATCTGCCCTTCCACTCACAACATGAATGTTCCCCATGTACTCCGAAAGGATTACCAATTTTGCGACCTGGAAGAGGAAGATGACGCTGCCTTCGTTTCGGTGATGACTGATGATGGTTCGATGGAGAACTTCAAGATTGACAAGTCGGCTGAAATCCTGAAAGAAGTGAAGGATAAGAACGCGGCATCGGATGGTAATTTCATAGTGACAGTGTTGAAGGCGTGCGGCGAAGAACAGGTCATTGCGACTAAAGAAATGACCAAGTAGACGAACCCAGTTGCCTTGGAGATATTGGAGACGAGACCATAAAATTGAATACTTCATTTAATTTATGGAAGAATATTTGCTATCTCAAGTTGCATTCATCTTTGGTCTGGGATTTTTTTGTCGAAAGTTGAAGTGAAAAGTAATCTTATTGTTAGAAGATTCATTTTTTATTTGATAGGCGAGAGTAACTAGAAGGTAACCAGACGGTGAAAGCTGACCGATATATTTTCAAAAATTCAGAAGCAAATTGAAACTTATATCTGCTAAGAATTTTTTGCCCTTGAGAGGTCATTTGGACTTGAAAGTATTTGAATTCGAAAAGTATATTCAGGTGTTACTGGTTGTAATGAAAGCATAATTTTATGTCCTTACTTTTGTCACAGTGGTTAGTAGAGTTTTGTGTGTTTTTTCCCTTCAAAATCAGGTACTACAAAGACACGCCCTACTGGGATATAAAGTTATTATTGGCTTTGTTTTTTTTTTGCATTCGGCTAAAAAAATTGTCAAAGTAGCAGGAGAGTAGGAGCGCGGATTTTGAAAAAAAAAAGTTTTTTTTTTTCACGTCGACCAAATCGAAAGAAGACTTGACTTCGAAAAAGCGTTCTGCGCAACAGACGCCAATTTTTTTCTAAAGAGCAGCCGTGGCCGAATGTGTAATAAAAGATCCAAGATTGAAAGGTGGGAGCTGAGCCGGGGGCTTATAAAAAAGAAAAAAGATTTTTTTAAGTGCGTAAAATGTAATGACCAATTATGACGTAAAATGTTAGCCCCATCCGGCTAACAACTTGTTTAAAAAGCTCACTTAAATCATTTTTGCTGCCGATAGGCTCTTTCGTCGAAAACCTATTTGTCAGTTCTTGTAGCTGTTTTCAACTTTTTTGGAGTAAGTTGATTTCATGTGCCATTACTGTCAGAGTACTATCAAGGATCGCGAATCTCGCCTCCAAATATGACTGTTCAAATCCTTGTAATTTTCGAGATATGACGTTTTTTGTGGTTTTTTCAAAAAAATTTCAGACAACTTATTTAAATTTTTTTTCGCAAAATCTGAAATTCCCAACCCTGTAGTTAGGTCCTGTCAGAGTACTCTCAAAGATTGCGAATCTCGCCTCCAAGTATGACTGCTGAATTCTGTAGTTTTCAAGATAGTGGCCGAATGGGTAATAAAAGATCCAAGATTGAAAGGTGGGAGCTGAGCCGGGGGCTAATAAAAAAGAAAAGAGATTTTTTAAGTGCGTAAAATGTTATGACTAAAAATAGATTTTTTTTGACTCCCCTCATTTTTAGTGTACATATAGACCCATTTCCGGCTAACAACTTGTTTAAAACGCTTACTTAAATCATTTTTGCTGCCAATAGGCTCAATTTCTTGAAAAGCAAGTGTAATTAATATTGTTTCTTACTACTGGTAAATTGTATATATAAAGAACCCAACCATTGTATGTAAATTTATAGAATTTGGTTTCAAATTTTTTTTTCTGATTGATGATTTTTGGCTCTATGATTGTAGATTTCAGCTTTGTCGGTTTAATGTCCAATTGTGTATAACAATTTGAATGTAATATCAATTTAGAAATCAAGGATGCGATGTTGGAGGAAAATGCAATTTTTCCGATGAGTTTTTTTTGCCGAAAACTTTTGGTCGACTTTCGGCTGACTGGGTGTCGGCTCACTCAACTATTTTTTTTTCTCGAAAGTTCCAGTGTTATGTTTGAGATTGATGACTCAATGGATTTGCAAACGCTCAAAATCAACCCCACAAGGACTCTTTTGAAAACTTCCAAACAAGTTAAAACAAGAAAACAAAAATTTTATTCAATTTTGTTCGTCATTCTAGTTTTTCATCAATTGTAACATTCTTCGAAAACCTATTTGCCAGTTCTTGCAGCTGTTTTCAAATTTTTTTGGAGTAAGTTGATTTCATGTGCCATTACTGTCAGAGTACTATCAAGGATCGCGAATCTCGCCTCCAAATATGACTGTTCAAATCCTAGTAATTTTCGAGATATGACGTTTTTTGTGGTTTTTTCAAAAAAATTTCAGACAACTTATTTTAATTTTTTTTCCCGCAAAATCTGAAATTTTCAACCCTGTAGTTAGGTCCTGTCAGAGAACTCTCAAAGATTGCGAATCTCGCCTCCAAATATGGTTGCTCAATTCTTTGTAGTTTTCGAGAGGTGACGTTTTTTGTGATTTTTTCAAAATTTTCAGAAAGTTTAAATTAATTAGTTTTCAAAATTTGAATTTCCCAACGCTATAGTTCGGTGTTGTAAGGGTACTCTAAAGAGTAGCAAATCTTGCCACATGTGACTGCTAAACGCGACTGCTCAAAAGCTTTAAGTTTCCCAGATGTGACCTTTTTTTGATTTTGTCAAAATTTCTCAAAGAACTTTACAAAGAAATTCAAAAAATTTGATACTACTAACTTGATGAAGATACAACCTTATTGTCAGCGTACACCCAGGCGTCTCAAATCTTGCCGGCTAACAACTTGTTTAAAAAGCTCACTTAAATCATTTTTGCTGCCGATAGGCTCATTCGTCGAAAACCTATTTGCCAGTTCTTGCAGCTGTTTTCAAATTTTTTGGAGTAAGTTGATTTCATGTGCCATTACTGTCAGAGTACTATCAAGGATCGCGAATCTCGCCTCCAAATATGACTGTTCAAATCCTAGTAATTTTCGAGATATGACGTTTTTTGTGGTTTTTTCAAAAAAATTTCAGACAACCTATTTTAATTTTTTTTTTCGCAAAATCCGAAATTTTCAACCCTGTAGTTAGGTCCTGTCAGAGTACTCTCAAAGATTGCAAATCTCGCCTCCAACTATGACTGCTGAATTCTTTGTAGTTTTCGAGATATGACGTTTGTGATTTTTTCGAAAATTTTCAGAAAACTTAAATTATTATTATTCTTTAAAAATCTGAAAATTCCCAACCCTGTAGTTAGGTCCTGTCAGAGAACTCTCAAAGATTGCGAATCTCGCCTCTAAATATGGTTGCTCAATTCTTTGTAGTTTTCGAGAGGTGACGTTTTTTGTGATTTTTTCAAAATTTTCAGAAAGTTTAAATTAATTAGTTTTCAAAATTTGAGTTTCCCAACGCTATAGTTCGGTGTTGTAAGGGTACTCTAAAGAGTAGCAAATCTTGCCACATGCGACTGCTAAACGCGACTGCTCAGAAGCTTTAAGTTTCCGAGATGTGACCTTTTTTTGATTTTTTCAAAATTTCTCAAAGAACTTTACAAAGAAATTCAAAAAATTTGATACTACTAACTTGATGAAGATACAACCTTATTGTCAGCGTACACCCAGGCGTCTCAAATCTTGCCTCTTAATGTGAATGCTCAAATCTTTTTAGTTTCCGAGATAAGACTTTTTTTTTCAATTTTTTTTTGTGAAACTTAGGTTTAAAAAAAATCAAAATTTTGGATTCCTAGCCCTATAGTAGGGTGCTCTCAGGGACTCTCAGTGGTTGCAAATTTGGCCCCCAAATTTCTCCAGAGGCCCTTTAAGTTTTCGAGATGACGCTTTTAAAATGGGAATTAAAAGAAAATTTAAAAGTTCGAAATTACCAACTCTGTAATTGGGTGCAGTCAGTGTACACTAAAAGTTTGGTTTGCAGATGTTTTTTCCAATATATGCGGTTTTTCATGAGTTTTCGAAAAGTTTCGAAGCGCCGAAGGTGCGTTAGACGCTAGTTTTGATTTACTTGCACTTGCTTTCTAGCCTATGTGGTATAAAAACATATTTATAAATCCAAATTCAAGTTAATATTCCGAATATTCTATGTTAAATTTCTAATGATGCAGAAATTGAGTCCAAGTTTGTTTCGGAATTATTGAAGTTTTTTAATTTTTTGACAAAAATTTTTGTTGAGTTTTTTAAAATTTTTTCGATTTATTTGTTTTTGATCATAGATATTCCATTTTGTATCGCAAGAAGTGCGAAGCTCTGCTTCGTTCTTCGACTTTGAGTAGCGAAGTTAGAATTGTAATGCTTTAAGTCTTAGGAGGTCAGACTCCAATGAAACTTGTCTAATTTAGTCTGAAAGAGAAATTTTATCCACTTTGTATCGACAGATGACATATTTAAAAAAAATTCTTGAAATCCGAATCAAGACCAATATAGCTTTAATGTTATAACACAACTAAACATGTAACAGCTTTTTCGGTGCAGTCAAAATGAGGGAAAAATTACCTTCCACATAGTTTCTTCCCACAACAAAAATAGTCTTCATTATTACGCATGCGATCAGCAAGCTTTATCAAATCACAAAAAGACATTTTTCGGGTTCTAAGATCTTGTCTATAATCGCCTGAAACTTTTTGCATCTTGGTTCATAATGAATTCAATTTTCGTTGTCTCCGGCACATTTAGTCTTGAGGTTACGAATACACCTGGTATGGCAAAGGTCCTCGGTTCGGCTCTGACCAGGACCTTTTTTCAAACAGGAACTATTCCGTATGAAAAAGTTGCCGGGCTATTGTTTGTCTGCTTCTTTTGTTGGCTTAATTGCCACAAATTGGAATAGTTGTTTATTTTTGCTATACGAATTTTTCCTTGTAGTTACTTTTAGTCCTGCAATTTGTAATTTTATCAGCCTTGACTCAGTATCTGTTCCTTTCTTTTCGCTTCAAAACTTTTTTTTTGGCCCAAATGACATCGGCTTAGTGACCTAGTTTTCAGCCGTTTCAGGGTAAACATAATTTTTATGCTCCCCTCTGAATCGCACAAAATGCGAGAAATCTTAAAATAGAAATTTTAGTTCCAAGTTTTTATAATAATAATTTTGTTTTCGGTTCTGACAGCGTTTTGAAGTTTTTACTTGGTTTTTTAAAAAAATTTTAGGCATCTCATTGGTTATTTAAAAGTTTCAGCTTGCCACGCGTCACTAAAAAATTTCATTTATGGCGTTTGCGAGCTCCGGAAACCCCTATTGTTAGGAGGGAGCTATGGCGTAGAGCTTAGGGTGTTTGATTTTTTCGAGTTCAGACCAACTTTCACAAAATTCCACTTCACTAAATACAATTTTGACGGTACTAAATTTGATTCTTCATTTTTACCTTATTTTAGCTATAATTAGTTCTCGTTCTTGGGTTATTTCACGTAACTTAATCGCCCTCACTAAATTTTAAAAAAACAGCAAAAGACTTCTTTTTTTTCCTTTTTCAATAGCTTTACTCAAATCGAAGTAGTCAGAACACGTTGTGCGACTTGCACAGCAATCCGCTTTTCTAGTTTAAATTGGTAAAGTTTAAGCTGGAAATTTTCAAGGCATCATAGGTAATATTTTCAGTTATGAAATGAGAGACTGAATCATGGAAAAGACAGCACGACTTCCCCCGCTACCGGTGGAAAAAAGAAATGGGTTAGTCATTCTCTAGTATTTCCTCAAGAGCAATTTTAATGTTATTTTGATGTCACTTGAAATGAGGCGCCGAAAGGGCTGTATATTTGGGCTAAGTTTTTTAGTAAAGAAATTAGAATCAAAAAAGTCTTGGACAAGTAAACTCAATCATTTATTGAACAACTTGATAACCGGTTAGCTATGTAATGGGACATATTTTTTGCGTGATCTTAATTCGGATGATTTTTTATTCCAGACCTGCCAATCATCCAGATGCAATACTTATTAGTGACACAAATCCAGATATCCAAAGGAGATCCACCAAAGACAATGCCAACATTTCCGCCAGAAAAGTAAGCGGAATTGAGATTGCATAAGGATTAGGTGATCTCTTATCATTAGGTAGTCTCTTGTATTTTTTACATAATTATTGCAGCAAATTGCATAACTGATTTTTCACAACTTGATGTGAAGATAAGTTAACCATAGGAAATTTTTTCCTGTTGTAGCCAAGGAGCAAGATCTTTCTCTATTCTAAAATATGAATGGTCGCCAATGTTTTTTTTGTATGAAAAGTGGAAAATATGAAAGAAATAGGTGATTTTATTGGTGCAAATTGTGCAATATGCAGCATCCTCGAATTGGTTCATTAGCGGTCAAAATCTGAAGTGCGTTTTGAAGTTGTTCATTTGTTCACATTTTGCTGCTAATAATGTATGCTGTTATTTATCAGTAGTCTAACTTAATATCGCAGTATGGGGGATAACTTTTAACCTTCATAAATCCGTCTTAGGTTTTGGTTGAATACCAATTTCGGACCCGTTGTTAACATTGGACCCCTAGAGCCTTTTAGGGGAAGGATGTTAAATTGGTTCTAAATTGGAATCTTCAGCCAATCAGAACCGATATTTTACGCGCAGCGTTAAGCAATTTGAATCCAAGTTAAATGATAGGGTGGATGATCTTCCAAGCCGGAATTTCCAACCTGAATAGATCATGTTAATGTTAACGTGATTTCAAATTTTGAGAAAAATTCCTGAAAGAAATCTTTTTACATTTTGTCAAATGGTCTATAGATCTTCCACCAGCCCACATCCTTCGAGAGCTGGCCTGCCTATTCTACCGGACCGACCTTTGGCCAGATGACACTGGTGAAGAAACACTGTGGTGATGGGCACTCGGAATTGGTCAACCCTTGGGAGAAAAAAGTGATTCCGAAGCCGAAGTTCCTCGAACAACTCGAGGGTTTCCTGCATAATGAACTGAGAGCACTGGATTGTCCCGAGAAAGGTCCAAGTGAATTAAGATTACAAGTTAGTACAGCAAAATCGCAATTTGTTGCTAGACGACTCTCGTCATTTAAAGATTGCCTTTAGTTTTTATGCCATCTTATTATTTTATGACGATTGAAGACGAACATAAGAAATTGCCTGTTTTTTCGTGCTTTTCATTGGAATATGATGTTATGCAACATGTTATGCAACAGTTTTTTTGATGGCTAGTTAGGTTATAGTTTTAGAAAGCTGTCATGTTTTACATGTAATAGAAAATAGGTAATAGGCTGACAGGGTTAAGTATGCCATACCAAATTTTGTCTACACCAGTTAACGACACAGGGCAAAAAAAAAACCGATACCATAACAGCTCATTTCAAAAAATATCACAAAGGACAAAAAGTGATAATGGTTGCATGACAACCTAACCGACTCCAATCTACTCAATGTCACTGCACTTTACTGATCTCTCCTATGTAGCAATAAACCGTATGCCATTCAACGCTTTTGAAGTTAGTTCTTGTTCTATTTTTCGAAGAAACTATTCATTTTGATGGAAGAGTAATTGTCGAACGTGAATAAAAAAACATCAAAATACGATTTTGCTTTTTAAATATCGAAATTAGTTCAAATCAATTGTTAGCAATGCATGACCAGTAATTCGAAATGACGAAACCTCAACGCGCTTCGGCTAACGTTTGAACAAGTAAAAAATACCACCCAAAAATACCGCTCAAGTGGATGTCTTCAGTGTATGAAGCTATTTTTAGAGCGGAATAACAAAAGATCAATCAACCAAAAATCAAGATTTGAGTTATTTTGGAGAATCTTAGAAGTATACCGTTGGATAAATGAATAGCTAGTGTAAACTACAAGGCCATGGCGGAATTGTTGATTGAATGGGACAGGGCTGAGGGAAAAGGTTTTTTTTTATTCTGCTCTGTCACAGAGGGTTTAATAATTGTGCGAGAGAATAAGTAGCTTACAATGAAATCTTAGAAATTTTCTTCACTTTCTAGTTCCATGCTTCTTTTTTTCTGGCAGCTGAGCTTACTGTTTCTGTATGTGATTTTCAAGTTTTTGTGCTTGACGCAGCTCGTTAGAATTGCTCGTGGTGTAATTAGACATTGGTTTCCACTAAAAGAGTATAGCAATACCAATATGCCATCCTTCTATGACATTTGTTGTCCTGGTCAGCCCAGCAGCTGCTTCTGAATGATTTAAAAGTTTGTAGAAAAAGAGGATCGCGACAGCTTCCAAAGTTTCTCACTTGAAGCAAATGTGTTGGAGTTATGTGTCCATCTCACCCACTTTGTTGTTCCGACTTTCGATACGAAAGTAACGGAATATTTGTGATCGGGGTGGGTTTTTTTTTCTTCAAACAAATTTCGACTTTTTAACTAGCCGTTTTTGACGGAATTTTTTTATCATTCGAAAGGTATTGTTGCCCTGAGCTCAAATTTGAAAAGATATTTCACCTGTGATCATTTTTCGTAAAGTTATGGGGGTTTAAATATTGCCATTTTGGCCAATTTGGGACAATTAACGCGCGATATACTTCGCGCTATTAACGCGTAAGCGGAGAGTTAATCCGTCTTAAAATTGTTCCAAATTGATTGAAAGAAGCTTATTTGCCATAATTGATTTGTTACAAGGAGCGAAATCTATCTTTTTCTTTTTTATATGGCGTGTGGGGGATGCTTTTAGAAATTTTTTTTTTCAAATTTTAGAAAAAATTTTTTTTCATTTTATTTTAATACATTTAATTTTTTAATGTTATTACTGGTCCATAAAACCTTAAAAGGCAGTCGGAACATTCAGTGCTTCACCCTGATACGAGCAGTCTTGTTTAGTTTGTTTCCGTTTTACTCTAACTTGTTAAGAGATTTTCGATCTTATTGACCGGGTCGAAAGCCACTGTCACCATTTCAACTGGTAAAATGCTTGTAGCTAGAATCAGATGCAGAAGCAAAATGAGTTCATAATTTCTTCCATACAAGCATTTCGGTCTCATTTTTTTTTCAGTGCTAACAGAAGGCCCAGGCTGCAACGGATATACATTTGCTGCTAGTGTTTTCGTTGTCAATCGGGTCAACTGGCACGGACTATTTGTATGCCCTAGTACTTAGCGTGTCACGCAAAAAAAATTACCGTCACTCACAAAAAATGTTGCCATTCTTCAAAGTTTTTTTACTGAACTGGTTGGCTTCGTTGCTTAGCAGAGATTTCTCACCATTTTAGGAAACTTCTGCTATAATAATTAATTTTTCTATCAAAATTACGACTTTTTTTTTCATACGTGAATCTTTTGGTCTGTTAATCAGACATCGCTAGTCGTCTGAGATTAGAAAGGCTGCCACTCATCGCCAAAACAAATCTACATTCTCGAAATCTCGAGTTTGCGCTGGGCAAAAATCAAGGAAGGCGTCTCCCACGATATCTCAGAGTAAGAATTTGGCCTCAAAACGTTCGTCTACATCGAAGATCCTCCCGACACAAAGTTTCTCTTATGTTAGAAGCTGTAATTACCAATTCCCGTGCCGTTGTAGTAGCAGTGCAAAAAAATGGGGCTGTGCAAAAATTTGGCGTCGAATAGTTCTTAGAACTGATTGCACATTCAATGATCTGGGTCTTTCAGATTGTCATAAGTCATCAATTTGTACTGTAAGACCAAATTGAGCCATACCGATTGCTTAATTGCGATTTTAATTCGAACTTGAGGTCATGTTTTCAACTGCTCAAAAAAAATTGACGCGCCATTCGCAAAGATGACATTGCGTTCAGAAACTAAATATAAACGTTGTATAAAAACGTTTATATTTAGTTTCTGAACGAAGTATCATCTTTAATTTTAAACGTTTTCATACAAAATTGTTTCGTTGCGTTGTTTCTCCATTGTATAATTAATGCCAAATTGTTGGCGAGGTTGGTGACATTGAGCAGTTTAATCGGTCAAAAACGTTACTATTATAGGTTAAATAGTTTTTCTGAAACCGTTTTAACGCGTAGAAATCATTAATAAGATGAAATTCCGCGTCAAAATCAGCTGTTATAGATTAATTAATTTCGATGAGACTCGTTGACCGAAAATAAATTGCCAACAATTTGACAGTAACTATATTATGACTGTTGGGCTTTCGTGACATGGGATCTACTAGCATGCGATGCATGAGCTAAGATATTTCATGATATACTATGATTTAACATATTTCGCCATGAAACCAGTAAAAGTTGATAATGTTGTTTTTTGTAATTATCATGAAGGAATTCGAATGTTTTTTTTAAAATATAAATCGTCGGCCATGCTATTAATCGAGAAAAGGTGATTCTGTGTTCAGGTGTTTCGCGAGGTGTTCGAGTACCTCATCTCTGACTTCAAGACTTACCGACCGATTCTGTCGATGGTTAAGAACGAGTATGAGCTAGTGATCAGTGATCTGCACCAGAAGATAAGGGAGTTGGAACCTCTGAAGCAGATGCTAGTCACTGTTTCAGAGAGGTGTGACCATAAAATCATGCAGATACAAGAGCAGGAGAGACAAGGTTAGAGATGCCTTCTTTGCTGCCTCCGAAAAAAATGCTGAGATTTACGCCTTGCTTAAATAAAAAACTGTAGATTTAAAAAAATAAACAACAGCCTTCAAAATAATGTCAATTCATTATTATTAATTGATACGTGAGTTATAATAATTTTCGCTTGTTTTTTTTCTCCAAGAAGAAGTTCATAACGATGAGCTGTTCTTAACGAAGATACTCTTTTGGCCCCGTTGATTGCAACGTAAACTTGTGCGTTGCAGTAATTCTCTATTGGAGTAGTTTTGTTCAATCTGGTGAATCCGCTCGTTTTTTACGCGAAGTTCAAATTCTTCATTAAGGGAGTTATAGCAATAAAGACCTGGCTAAATACGGAAATAGTTATGTTTTGCGAAAGGAAGTTTTGGAAAGACCAAGTTGCGATTAAGGTACAGTTCAAAAAGATTACGGTTGCATTACAATGCCTAGTTTTTTACTACTATAGTCATTCCTTTACGAAGGTCCTTTTTTGTTCCTATTGCGTAATCTTTGTGTATTTTTTGGGAAATGTTCATGCAAATTTTTTGGTCTTAAAACAGCTGCTGCGCCTTCAAAAAGTAAGCTTCAATTATGAAGTGGCCTTGTGCCACTGCACTACACAAAATAAGGAAAAATCCTCTAGCCTATTGACCTCTCGTCTGATCGGAGAGTGGTACGGCTAGACATCATGTGTGCAGACAAGTCTATTTTTGAAACGTAGCATTGTTTCTATTTTCTCATTTGAAAATTATGATAAAAAATACTCCGAAAAACTCAAAAAATCCTTAAAAATAAATGCAACAGGTCAAGGTTTCGTTAAATCATTCTTTTTCATTGATATGCGAGTTTGAATAGTTTTAGGTGTCAATGATCGTATATGATTGAATTATCCGGACAAAACAAAAAACTATTTGAAACGCGTTTTTCTCAAATTAGATTGACTTGAGACAAAAAAATGATGAAGAAAAAACATGTTGGAATTTATGCAGTGTTTCTATGTTACAATTAATTTTGCGAAATCCGTTCCCTAAATTGTATCTCAAAAACGGATTTTTTAAATATTTTTAGTCGATCAATGATTATTACGCCAAAATTACCAGTGCAATTGCTGACAAAACCATAACAAATCGAATCTATGCATTTCAACAAAGAAGGGAATAATGTACAAAAATTTGTTCAAAGCTTTTTCAAATTGTTTTTACTTGTGCCAAAACATTTCCTATCATCAGGACATTTCCTAAGACATTTTAGCTATCAAACGAAAATAAACGTATGAATTCATAACTGAGAAGCTTATACCTTTCTATCTTTGTTTGTCTACGTATGGGGCTCATTTTGGTTTAGTTTTTTCATTAATTTAACCGCTAGTTATGGCGTAACTTTTGATTGACCAAAACTGATTAAAATGATCCTTTTTGGGTTGAAATTGTTGGCCCGAGTTTTGCAAAAAATAAATTGCACCATAAGCATTCTGCTTTAACTCTAAGCTGGTTTAGCTTTAAATTTTTTGTCTAAATTTAACCCAATTGAAAAAAGGCTTTAGCTTTTCAAGAATTATTCGTTTGTCTGGATATTTTTTAATAAACACTTATATAGCTCGTGATGTTTTTTAATTTTTGAATTTTATATTTTGTAGTCTGACTGTTGAAATATTTAATAAGTGAATTCAAATTCATTTATTTAAAGGAAGGAAAATTCCACTCTTTGATTATTTAAGTGAAAATGACGCAAAAATAACAGGAACGATTTCTAGTTTTAGGCAGTTAAATTTTAAGATTTTACTGCAGAATAATAAAACTACCTATTGATCCAATTTTATCAAATTGTGTTCATTTTATCAAAAAAGTTTCTGCCATAAAATTTTCTTAGCTTCAAAGAGCTTTTAGGTCATATGAGTTTTTTTCAGTCTTGTTGCGTTCATTGACATTTTTCCAACTGGCTGTTGGCTGTGTTTCATTTATTTTTTGCTAAATAAATCAGTTAATTTGATTTTCTCTGATTTGTCTGACATAGAGCTATAATGTCCCATTTATTTTCAGGAGTTATTGTTGGACCTCGAAGTATGATTCACAACCATCATCTCTCATTTCCTTTCTACATTAATGAAAGATCCCTAAAGTAGAATTTTCAAAGCTGCGGCATTGATATCCTAATGTTTTTTTTTCACAACTTTCTGATTAGTAAACAATCGGCAGAATAAAACATTTATGATATCAATTAAAGCTCCTATCATATCCTGACATAACTCTAATACGTAATAGCTAGTTTATGCGAGGAAAAATTATTTTAGATCTTGTAATACGTAATAACTAGTTTATGCGAGGAAAATTTTTTTTAAATCTTGTTTTAATACATAATAACTAGTTTATGCGAAGAAAAATTATTTTAGATCTTGTGGACTTGCGCAAGGAGAATATAAGATTACTGCAGAAAATCGATTCTATGAAGGAAAAAGAGAAAGATTACCAGGCGCAGATCGACAAGGTAATTAATTTTCTTTTGTTTAGTTCGAAACTCAATCAGAAAAATTAGGGTTGGTATTCACTTTCGTATTTACTTCAAGAAATAACAGACAACTTTTTGATGCCTGAGATATGAATTTTGTTGTTGAGTTTTCTTTGAATCGGAATAACTAAAAGTCAGACAACCTGCAGTTACAAGTGCAAGTGATAATGGGCGCTTTGCTGCCTTAGATCTCGGAAGAGCTGTCACGAGAGTATGAGAGATACAAGAACGAGTGTGATCAAAGACGGATGTTGGTGCAGGACCTAAATGAGATGCGATATCTCCGAGAACAGGTAAAATTTCCATAAAAATGTACTGCTTAACCAAGTTTTCTAACTGTAAAAGTATTATTGTTTGTTCATTTAACCTCTGATCTTTACTGATCGTTGACCTTTAAGTTGTTAATTTATACACCTGCCAAAAGCGCATCGGCTTTTGGTAGACTCAGAATTGGACACTATCTTTTATGATACGTAACAAACAAAACCGAAACCAATTCAATCTTTTAAACCTCTCTTACTTTAGTTAGCATCACCGTCTTTTATTTAGTATTAAATAAAAGCCTACTGTTTTAGTAGGAATCTTAATCATCCGTAATCTTAATCTATTCTTAGCTTAAGTACACTCCTATATAACTACGAGTGGTATCCTAATTTTTTAACATGGCGCAGTCTAACGAATCGAATCTACGTGGATTAGAGTTTTTTGGAACAACTCATCAAACGAAAATCAACATGACTGGGAACGGTGGGCGGAAAAGTTTCAATTGACAATTATTGCGAAAGACTCCGTAGACATCGAAGATGTAATTAACCCACCGATAAGAAACGAACTAATTTACCCTACGGCAGAACCACCGGACCCATCCGAGGATCAGGCCCGTCGGGCCGAAAAAGAGGAACATCACAGAGTAGCAGTACAAAATTATAACGAAGAATTAAGAAGGAGAAGGGCGGAAGATAACGCCAAATTTAACGGACTTCAAATCGGAGACATTGACAAGAAGCTAAAATCACAGTTATACCTAGCACTCGGAAAAGAAGGACAGAAATGCTTCTCTCATAAAAATCCTGGCAAAAGAATTCTGGATATCAATTTCGCAGAATTTTGGGAACTATTAAAAACTACTTTCACGATCACTACAAACCTAACATACGAAAGGTTTAAATTTTTTGGCCGAAGACAGAAAGAACATGAGTCCTTCGAAAAATTCCATGAAATTCTTTCAGAACTAGCAAAAAATTGTAAACTGGGGGAACTCGAGTCAGAACTAGTAAGAGACATTTTCATCACAAACATGAGAAATGTCGAGATCCAAAAGAAACTATGTATAGAATATTTGACCCCAGAAAACGTACTATCTTACGTACTAGTTCATGAAAAAGGTACTAAAATCGATCAACAGTATCTAAAATTCCCAACTTACAACCCAGGACCAAGACCACAATACGTGAAGAACGAACCAACCCTAAATATCGTCGAAAATAACAAATGCCGCAATTGCGGTCAACAATTCAAAAAAGGACACCTATCCACATGCCCGGCTAGAGATAGAAACTGCAATACGTGCGGACGGAAAGGACATTTTGCCAAACACTGTAGGAGTTCAGCAAAAACACAAACTAACATCGTTGATCAGAATCGTGTACCCCAAGAAAACGAAAACATCCGGACCAACCCGCAGGAAAATCCCGAATTTGAGGTTAACTTAGACGACTTCCTAGCTCTAGCCGTTGACACAGATAATCAAATAAATGCCGTAGAAGACAAAATAGAGCGTGGAGTGAGAACAGTATTTAACCACGAAGGATTAGAATTGAAAAAGACACTAAAAGTATCTCTGGGAAATTTCAACCCTTACTACACCGAGATTCAAATTGACTCCGCAAGTCCAGTTTCCTTCATGAAAAAAGACCTACTACACGAATTGAAGATACGAGATAGATTTTTAAGGCTAGAACCTGTGGACGAAATAACATAGAAAGCATACCAGGGCTTCGGGAGTACGATCAATATCACTGGAAGAGTTCGAGTGAAAATCCAATCGAAAGGATGGGAGGCTAATGACCAAAAACTTTTTATCACTGAAGGGGCTGAAAGAAATCTACTAGGAAACGACATCTTACCGAATTTGGGCATTGTAGTATTTCAGAAACAACCTCCACCCAACGGGTTAAAGTCACGGGAAGATCAGAAAGTATCACCCATTGGGATAAACGTCAATCAAATAAAATTCGCATCGGACAACCAACAGGATCAAAACCAAGAGACACCATCTCAAAGTGAGTTTAAATTATACATATCAAAGCACTTTTCAGACCTCATAAAAAGAACTGGTAGATCAAAAAACTACGTAGTTAATACTTATTTTAACGAACCGATAAAACCGATACAGGTAAAAGGGAAACGTATCCCGATCCATCTTCTCCCCAAAGTCAAACTATGTATCGACCAATTATTAAGAGACGGACACATCGAAAAACTATCTAGATGCTCTGAAGATTGTTTTATTTCCCCCATCGTGATTACAGCAAAAAGGGACGGATCAATCAAACTAGCATTGAACTCAAAACTACTAAACAAACAGATATTTCGCAATAGATATCAAATGCCGAATCTATTCGAACTAATTGACAACGTAGCAGTTACTATTAGCGGCCACGATCAAAGAAACATCTGGTTTTCATCGATAGATTTAAAATACGCCTACAGCCAAATACCGCTTTCTAAAAAGGCAAGCAATCAGTGTAATTTTAACATTGTGGGGGGAGAAGTAACGGGTTCATACCGTTTCAAAACCGGATTTTACGGACTAGGCGATATGCCTAATGAATTTCAACGAATAATGGACCGTTTGACGGAAAAACTACCAAATACTCATTGTTATCTTGACGACATCCTAATCGCCACCGTGGGTAGCGAGGAAGAACATAAAAAGCTAGTCATTAATGTGTTAAAAACGCTAGATGACGAGGGACTAGCCATAAAATGGGAAAAATGCACATTCTTAACCCACAACATAGAATGGTTGGGATTCAGAATCGACGCAAAAGGGACGACACCATTAATACATAAATCTGACGCAATTAGAAATCTAAAAGAACCAAATTGCATCAAAGATATCAGATCATTAATGGGATCGATTAACCAATTTAATAATTTTATACCAAACCTAGCGTCCCTATCAACACCGTTCAGAGAACTTATGCAAAAAAATAAACCATTTAAGTGGTCCTCAGTACATACGGAAGCGTTTGAAAAAATCAAGAACGAAATTTGTAATACGGTGACGAACCACCATTTCGATGTAAAACTGAACACTCGGGTGAAATGCGATGCCTCACATTTAGGACTGGGCACGTCCATCGAACAAGACCATCGGGGGAATTGGAAGACAGTAGCGTTTGCTAGCAGATTTTTGAATATTGCCGAATTAAAATACAGCACTAATGAACTCGAACTACTGGGATTAGTGTGGGCACTAGATCATTTTAAAAATTATCTACTGGGTAAACAATTCTCAATTTTAACAGACCACAAAGCTTTAATAGGAGCACTGAAAGACGATAAATACACCAAAACGGCCCAATCACGTCTCACCCGTTGGGCGGATAAACTTTTACCGTTCGACTTTACTGTAGAGCATCTACCCGGTAAAGATATGGGATTTGTTGATTATATATCCCGACACCCATCGGGTGAACCCGTACCAGTTTCTCTGGATGACGAAAAGTTTGTTATCGCTTCAGTAAATCAGATTAGTACGCTCCTAGGTTTTGATCATCTAATGCCAAAAAACTCGTGGGCGCAAATAAGAAAGAAATTCTCTCAACATTTCTTAGCACATGACGTCACTTCCTGTAATACGATTGGCCAGTCAACAGATCATATGACCAGTCAAGAAATAGAACGTGAGAATCGAATTGCTAATGCCGCTGAAACTTTCCAAGCGATAGCTAACTATTCAAATATTTCAGTGTGTCAAAATTCTCACTCGCGAACAGAACAGTGTGACTCATCTTGCAAATTAAACGATTTTTTTACGAATTTTAACATCTTGAAAGAAATGGCAGAACAAATTGAATTTAACCAACAAAAAGAACTTACTACTAAAGAAAACACGGACGTTTTAACACCAACTACTAGTAACCCGTCGGATAATCCCGAGAAAAGATCACCTAGTAAAAAGAAAATAGTTAACATATTCCCTTTCTCTTGGCCGGAAATATTTGATTCAAAATTTATGTCCCTCTTATCAAAACAAGATCTAGTTCTGAAAAAGATAATCAAAGCAATCGAGGAAGACCGAAAACAGGATATTCTACAACTGGGAAACTACTACAAATCATATTTAAATAATTTACATGTTAGTGGAGGATGTCTTTATCTTGACAACCGATTAGTAATCCCAGCATGCCTAAGATCGACTATGCTCAACAGACTTCACGAAGCTCACCCCGGCCAGTTCGCAATGAAAAGTCTGGCAACTCAATACATCTGGTGGCCGAAAATTTACCGTGAAATCCAAGTCCACGGCGAGAACTGTATTGAGTGCGTGAAAGCAGGTAAAAACTTGAAACCTCTTATAAAACACAATACCCTAGGGGAACTCCCAATGGTCGTAGAGCCAAACCAAGAAATGGAACTAGACTTCGCCGGTCCGTTACCTTTAGTATGGGGAACAAAAAAATACATATTGGTGTGTGTTGACAGATTTTCAAAATTCCCATCAGCTCAAATAACATCCAGCACATCGGCCAAATCTATAATAAACTTCCTTAGTAAATACATTGCTTTACACGGGATACCTAGAACCATTAGAACAGATCAAGGATCTGGTTTTATCTCCAAGGAAGTTAGAGAATTCTGCCACGATCACAACATAAAGGTGATATTTAGCCCAGTGGGTGATCATAGAGCTACCGGACTAGTGGAACGTCTAATCAGGACCATTAAGGAAAGACTCTTGGTTATGGCACAAGAACGTCCAAAACCTTCACTAGAATCTGCACTCCTGAAAATAATAAAATGCTTAAGAACAGTAACCCAGCAGTCGCTTAACTGCTCTCCTTTCGAAGCACATTTTGGTAGATCCCCTAACACCATCTGGCATAATTTGGTCAAATCACCCTCTTCGAATAACCTTGATTGGAATAAAACTTTGTTATGTCTAGATAAGGGCAAAAATCTAATGAGCCGAGAGCGAAGACACGACTGGGACGCCCCCGACGATATAGAAGATGGAGATGTTGATGAAAACTCATCATCCTCGGAGGATATCTCAAATGCTGCG